AAAACTGAAACTTTTTAATCATTCAAGCTATAAAAACGCATAATTTAATAAACAAAACACACACGTATACAAAAGTGATTCCCCCCAACCGCACTGCCACGACACAGCTGTATGTAGCCAGACAATGTTACCAGCTACAATACCGCCTCGGGGCAGATCTAAGTGGCCGGCCTGGCTCGACACTTTCTATCCGCGGGCGGAATTTTTCAAAACGAACAAAGGACCTCAATCAGCCAGACTTATTTTGGAGTGCCCCGCGGCTGTGCCCCAAGCACGACAATATTTCTCGCTCAGAATTCTTCCAACGCGGATGCTCTCTAGGCATTAAATAACACGGTTTCCTTGGCCGCGCCGTGTACATGCTCTACTTGGAACATTTTATGGTTTTACAAGTTGGGGTTTGTTTTTGGTATGTTAATTTTATTGTTTGGAAATCGTCTCGGCTCCAATCGGAAATTGGAATGGGGGAACTCATGCTTTAACGTGATGCTATAGATGGAAGAATAACCAAAATAAAAACGCACAAAACATATACGATACTAAAACTTGTTGACATAAATTATTCATCAAATATATTGTCTTCATCTGTTCATACCTATGTTGAATTTATTAGGGGGTATGATGTGCCAAAATTCGTTGAAGTTAAAAAGTTCAACTCCAAATAAATTGAAAAAGGTTTAACCAAAACAAACGGTAAAATCTTTATTTATTAGCGCTTAACGTTGAATTTACTTTGAGATCTTTTAAGAAATAAATCGACCTCAGATTGTCATCCTAATGTGCATTCTGTAAAATTTTACTTTTAACCAAAGAATGAGAAGTCTACTTTCAGCGTTAACTATAATCAAAGTTATCTGTTACCTAAGTAAATAGTAATTTGATTTACTCTTCCACAGTGTATACTATAATCAACGTGAGTAACTTATAAACTCGCATATTTTGTAATAATGTTTAGTCATAAATTATCAACATTATACGGTACGCATTATCTCTTACTCACAATCCATACCTAACTAACAAATGTACCGTATTCCTCTTACAAATTTCCAAAGATTTTCACGACATTCTGCCGAAAACGTTAATTTGTTCGATCTAAAATGTAAACGTTACGGCGCGGCGGCGATAGCGCTGTGGGCAAATGGTCGGAACGAAGTGATACTTTATGTAAATGTTAACACCCGAGGTGAGCAGTGTTATCAGAGCGATCGGGCGTGACTGATAAGGTGATAACAAAGATAAGAAGGGACTTTCATCTGCCGAGAGCGTTGCCGCTCCGCGTGATCGTTAGAAGGTATAAAAGGGGAACAAAAAGAAGCGGAGTTAGTACACTACCCTGTGCAACGCCGTAGTGCGTGGGGACGAAGGTGGTATGATTATTTGTGAGGCCTTTGTTGGAATTGATGATGGAAAATGGATAACTTAAAGAATTGAATAAAGAATTTTAGGGAAGAACAGAGACAAATGGGGATTTCTCACTAGGTTGTTTTTATCATATTCATTACTTTGACACAGACGCTTACATTGTTGGGTATTTCAAGCTGATTATGATGGAGGGGAGTGTACAAAGTGAGATTATCTTTGTAGTTTTATTATTGGTGGTACCAGCTGTTTAATTGGAAAGACCTTTTGTTAAACAATCTAAACAAAAATAACTGTATACGATTCCATGTATAAATTTGTACGTACGTTTAAAGTGTTTACACCATATTCGACGGTAAGAAATGCAAAGTACTTACATTTATTTATGAAAGTAGTTAAAAACAAAGATTTCAATAAATTCGAGAATGGCATATCCGATATGATAGAAATCCGCTGACGAGGATACATTACATTGGTTGAAACCAGTCCAGTCCTATACGTAAACATTTTTTTTGGGGGGGGGATTGTAACCTTGCACATTTTTTTATTTGCTTTGATGGTAAACGCATTTGAGAATAATTTTGCAATTTAAATAGGCTTAATATACAAAATTAAGTATATTAAGCAAATATCTATCTTTTGTGAAGTTAAGCATGTACTAACACTATACATACATTTATTATTATCTATTGTAAAAATATGTCATGATGTAACGCACAACACCAATGTTAGCCATAAAATTTTTCATACGTATTGTTTTGTTAGAATTTATAGCATATTAGCATATTATTGTAAATGGTTGTGTATTGTCATGGTTGTAAATGTATTATTGTCAAATAAATAAATAAAAAATAAATAAATACATATATTACATATTTGTACTCTGCGTCTAGAAATGTATCAATCATTCTACTCACTGGTTTTTATCATTTTAATGGGGAATAAATATTGACCATGATATGTACATAAATAGATATTGGCAATGTTCCTTATTCTATTAATGACTCAATAAATTTATCTTAACTGAACTTAGCTGAATGCATACACGCTATAGTTTTGAAAGTAATAATTAACTCCCCATTTTTTTTTTATTGATTACTAAACAATCAGTTCTAACAACTTAAAACCAATCATTAAATCCACAAAACTACAAAATTACTGAATTTTAAATAAAACATTTAACATCACAAGTAATGTCCGCATAAATAACTTAGCCACCGCTGTAGGTCAAGCCATAACATAGAAGTTGTAGCTATTGTCGCATAAGTAGTTGTTACTCTGTGTTAGAAAGTCGCCCGCTGTGATATACTCTGTGGCGAATATAATATAGCTGTGGCTGAGGTGGTACTACTGTATGCGGGGCGAGATTATTATCACACCGAAGACAGTTGTTGCGTTATGTCGTCAACCTTTACAGGCCCCGCCCTCACCCATTTAAATGTGTTTAAAAATCCGGTTCGTATTTTTTTATGTGTGTCAAAGGTTGCATGTTTATTAATGAACGTGTATACATGGGAATAGCTAACCATAAACTTTATGACAAACTTTCGTTCCGGGATTAAGATAGTTTCCAGTTCACGGTGCCTAAAAGCAAAAATATAGTTGGTTTAATGGTAAAATTTTTACACACTGTATAAGGAAGTTTCGTATTGTTAACAATTTTGGTATTTACATTAGTTCTAGTGGATTTGACAGATATTTTAACATATTCCCAATATTTTATATTTTCATGTAAATAGATTTTTTGGGTTTAGGAATATTAATTTGAAGCAGGTGTATATTTACTACAGGTTATTGCAATTGTGTGTATGATAAAAATAATGATAATATCATATTAATTCCGTGCTGCTCCTCCATAAAGATAGCCTTTGTGAAAAGATTTGTAGACGAATGATTTGTTTGAACTATGAAGGAACTAGCAGCACGATGATAACTGATATTAAACTTTTTTAACTTATATTAACCCTTCCAAATATTGAGAAATCGTAAGAGGATGGGATTCAAGGACCGAAAAACGCGTTCCTTATTTTCAACTTTGCTCATCAATATTGGTGCAACAAGTTTTCCATTTTATAATACGTTAAAATAAAATTATCTTACACTTGTGTACTAGGTACCTGTACTGTAGTTTTTTTTAAATCTATTTTGATAGTCCTATTGACAAATTGAATTGGTTTCTGTGTGGGTAGACCTACCTTTATTTTCGGGCGATTGCAAAAAACTACAGAACCAATTGGACTGCAAATTACACACTCGACACTTATGCCTATTCATGCCTTCCCTCGCGGCCACATGAACATCCAGCCGTCGGAGGTTTCAAAGTGGATGTTTTGGAAAGAAATAAATGACAAAATTCTATTGTTTTATCTTCAATAGAACAAAAACTCACAGCAATGTTTACATTTACAGTACTCTATTTTGGCTGTGTTAAAGGTATTAATTTTATTGTACTACGCAAGTGACTGAATTAAACTTGAGGACTTTACAAAACTTAGAGGAATGAGGTTTGTACAGATAACTGCGGGCGTGGAGGAACTATTTCCCACTTCAAAACAAAAAATCGCATTACACTTCTCTTTGCGTCATCACTTCATTGCGGACCAAAAAATCGACTACAGAAGATCTACTAGTTGTTTCAGATACAAAGAGGCGGCGCAACAACTGTTTTTTTTTTAATGTTTTTTGTAATTTTACCTGTAGTTCCTGGATATTGAATAAACTTGTGGTGACATACAAGTCGTACTTTATTCAGTTAACAATTATCACTGAATATACAACTGTTAAGTCCGTAGACAATACAACAGTCAGAATGAAGTAGTTCAAAAGCTCTGACTGAAGCCGGGTGTATAACATTTTGTTTACAACACACAACATATTGAAAGTTTTGTAAGTGAGTGCTGAATTTAATTGAAATATAATTTTAAAAGTTTACACAATAACCTAAATCATTTTTTAAAGATGTTTTACGATTTCTGTTAAAGAGTGTTATTTACAATAAATTCAAGAATAAATTAAATCTTTAGACTGCATCTTGTCGCGTCCAAGAGCAAACAACTTTAACTACAGTACAACTTTTCACCCTAGCGTTACAAGAAACGTGCATTTGGAAATCACACAAAACAAACAGTGTACAAGAATATCCAAAAGCCTACTGTTCCCATCTACAAGCCCAAAATTATAAATTACATTTGTCATTGCAATTCCAACAATTATTCTATAGCATTTCAAAACTTAATATAATTAATATACGAAGTATTAGTCAGATTTACTCATTTTCAAATAACAGTTGATAAACATCAACTGTTGTTGTGATTTTGGGATTTTCCCCACAGCTAATAATAATTAATTAGTCTTGTACTGTATTTCTTTCATGCAATTCATTTGGATCGCCAATCAAAGTTACTTTATGTAAAGGAACTTCCCAACCAATTGTCAAATACCCTAATAATTGTCAAATATACACCCACTGTCAAATGTACAGTACCAACAACACAACCTCTGTTCTAGCAAAAAAAGCTACGCATAAAAAAATCACAGCCAACACTTATTCCGATACAGAAAGGCTAACAATAGAGGTCCTACCATGCGACCCTGTGGTACACCAACAATTACTTTACAATAATATGCAAATCCAACGTTACCTCTTGATGTTGGAGGGGTCCAGGGTTCCTGCTCTGTTCTCCAGCGTGGGGATGCGGATCAGATCGTGTGGGAAAATGTTGACGGTTGTGCGGCACTGATTGTTACTCTATGTCGCGGCACGCGCGGCGCGATGTACTCTGTGGCGTAGAGACGTGAGCGCGACGGCGGCAACTGTGCGACTGTGCGCGGGATGGCGGGAGTTTCCCCTCCCCTACACCCTCCCTAACTGCCCCCGGCTACACTGAACTCTGCCCCCGGCGTTACCAGATATACTGTGAGTACACGGTGGTGTTTGGATGTTCAAATTTTGAATATATATTGGTTAGAGGATTATTTTTTTATACATGTGTACACGATGGTTTAAAGTACCTACCGGGAAGTTAGTGCATTGATTCGTCAATGAATAATAAATCCCTCGATATATAATATAACATCTTATATATATATATATATATATATATATATATATATATATAATAACTACTCGATGTATTATGTGGAGTATTATACATTGATGTCGGTTATTATTATCATTGTGAATTGAGATGAGAACACCACCTAGGTACGTGTAATTTTAACGCAAATCTAAGTGAAGGGTAGAATGGAATGAGATGACGTTTATGTAGCTTTGTTACTGACTAGGATCTGCAGTGACAGCTGGGTCCAGTTTAGAACCTCCAAAAAGTTATAAACTTTTCTCGTGATCGATCCGGAAAATCTTTAGGTTCTTATTTGAGCACTATAATTAAAATAATAATACAGAACATATGTCCCGTCTAGAACTAGTAATCTGTTTTTCAGATCCACGACTAAGTCACAGAGTTCTTATTGTTATCTGTACATTTCGAGTAAACCGAATAAACAAAAATCAGTTATGTGTCATATCCAAACCTTATCCAGCTAAACTGAAACAGATTATTTTTATTTTATTCCAACCAACTCTTTTTTTATTTTACTTTGGAGAAACCAAATCTGTTCATTTAACCAATGATACAGATAAAACTAATAAGCTATCACTTAGTTCGATACAGTACCAAAAAAACTGAACTACTGATACTACTTAATTTATTAATTCGGGATGGTTTTTTATAGAATGATTATAAACCAATACCATTAATAGACAACGCTATAAACTGAAACAACGCTAACTAGTGCTCAGCTAGTATCGCTCAACAACTATCGCTCAACTACTATCGCAAGAGTCGCTTCAGGGACAATGCACCTTTATAATTTAGAACTAGTAATAATTCATTTTGGGTTCGTCTCAAAAACCTCAATCTTACCTTTTTATTTCAATGGTATTTATTTACATATTGTTGTTGATATATGTCAACAGCCGTTTACAAGGAATGCTATTCCACTATTCCTCGTCTCGTATTTCCATTCTCCGCTCCAATTCCACCGATCCTAGGTCCTCGTTCCAACACTCGGTATTGACGCCATCCTACCTAACGGACTCGTATTAATGAGCTCAAGTCCAACGTCAGCCCAATCTCGTCCACTCGACTGCGCTGATTCCGGATTCAAACTTTTCAATATTTACTTTGTCGCCGCGACGACATCGACTTATACGGAGTTCATTTACATAAATTATCCTGTCGCGGGTTTATTTGAAGTTGTTGTCAACGCTGAGCGCCCAGATGGCATGAGGAAAGTGTATAGATTATAGGATAGTGCAGGTTAACAGATTTAGCTTAGTCCTGTAAATTACAATAATCTCTGATGAGGTGGGGATGAATAGTTGCTGAAAATCAATGCAGATTACGATTGTACTAGTTTTACCATTGATTATTGGATTATAGGTTTTAACTGTGTAGTGTCTATGGACTACTCCAGAATTGTGAATAAAAATCAAACATTATTATTTTGTTAATATTACTTATTACCAATTGAGATGGTGACGCCATCTAGGTGCGTATTTTAACCCAAATGAGTGAAGGATGAGTGTATAATGTTGAGAAATGAACTGTGTAGCTTTGTTACTGACTAAGATCAGCTGTTTCATAAGTCAGGATTATTTGAAAGCCCAATGATCAGGGGCAGCTGGGTCCAGTTTCGAACCATCAAAAAGCTATTGATTTTTCTTGGGATCGAACCGGTGACCTTTTGGTTGTTGAGTGATCACTTTGACCACTCACCTACTCAGAGTTTAAAGTATTTCGATCAAATATGAGTAAAGGATGATTGTAGAATGTTGTGAAAATGATCTGAGTAGCTTTGTTACTGACTATGATCAGCTATTTATTTAAAACCCAATGATCATGAACAATTTTGCCCGGTTTCAAACCATCAAAAAGCTACAGACTTGCAAATATTGCATCTTTTACTCAATTTGCATTCACAAAAATGCAAATTTCCCACTCAGACACTATCCGACTACAGCATGATGCTGGACCACATCAGGTACATTTCAGTCTGGCACCACACGACCACCTCGGCAGATGTTCCACCAGTTACGACTAACCTTTACGACGAGTCTCATAATTACATTTGGTCCGACTCTCTCCGAGCCGCTGGCCTTTCCCGGGGCCGATGGTTAGGTTGGCCTCTGCTCAAATTTATTGCTCCGCGGCGGCGAAATCCAAACCCACGAGCGGCGATGAGTACCATCGTAGATAACGGACGTGACGCATCGATAAAGTCAACCGCAAGTAATGGGTATTGACATTTAACTCTTGGTTTATACCGACTGCAATACAACATTTGAACAACTGAGCAATGCTATTTTTGGATCTATAATGTCATATGAAATAGTATATTTCGTACCTAGGGCCAAAAATGAGGTTTTGCCGGCTCGAGATAGTTTTTAAGTTCGAGACGAAGTCGAGAACTTAAATCGATCGAGAGCTGCAAAACCATTTCGGTCCGTGGTACGAACACTATTTTTCACCACACTTTACCCTATTACCACTATTCACCAGTATAATAATGCACACTGATGGTCAACACAACTACAACTTTAAGGTTATGTGAAGAAATAATTTGAGGAATCAGCAAAAATAAAAATAAATAGTTGCTAGGCAACGGTGACAATAACACAATTCTATTGCAATGCTATGGATTTTGATTGTGTATTTAAAATGCATTCATGTTTTAAGTAAGTAAGCGGACAGCTGATTTTGCGGCCCCGGCCTGTAAAAACCTGCTCGGTCCCCAAATTATGGACAGCTGGCATCGCCAGCAAAACGTAACTTTCGGCCACCAATTAACGTATGTAATACAGCCAAAAACATGATAGTGTGGTGAAAATACAATTTCGAATATGGATAGAGTACCTATTTTCATTTCTGTGAAGAAGAATTTTATTGGGCTATTACTCTAGTTCAGAAAATCCGGAATGGGTTATTTGAGGTTGTTCAAGTTTGTCTACTTTGAGTCTACTACGTCTACTAAGTAAAAGTTAGTCACACACAAGATTGTTCCTACCACCATAATTAGCTTATAGTATCACACAGATTAAATTTAGTGATGTATATAAAATATTATTTTGGTTATGTTAAGGTTATGTTATTTGCTAGGTTGTTAAATAACTTGCCGGATCCGCGACTTAGAAATAAGAACCCTCTTTCAGTCTAAATACAAAATCCAATGCTTTTTGTTATCCCACATAGGCTATAATACTTAAAAATTAATATTCTCCAAAGATTTCTTTGGTTGTATTTTTTTAAATACTAGTATAACACTCAATCCTACTGACTAAAGAATACGAAATAGCTGACTTTCACTTATTTTGACTGGAAATCCATCATGGTTCTACCTGTAAAACATGTATACATATTTTTTTACTTCACTCATCGTTATGTGCTTCAGAAAAAATGACCATGTCCACCTCAACTACAGGGTGTATGCCTGTCACTCTGCCAGTTAACCGCTTTGGTTTGCCTGATTATCAGCATTGCTTGATTGGCCAATCAGTCTTTGACCAGGCATCTGCCTGAAGCTACTGTCAAAAGATCATCTGTGTGACATCTTATTGACGTGCATTTTTATTTCTGCACGACTTATTTTATTTGAGAAAGTACTTACAGCTACCACATTTTCAGTATTTATAAACAGAGATTTTAATTAGAGTTTGATATTAACAAGAGGAGATTTTAAAGATTTCTTAAAGTAATAAACTTTAAATATTTTTTAGTCGATGATAGCATGACAGCATAGTGTAGTTAGCGCATTGATATTGCGGAGTTTGCCTGAATTTAGAAGATATGCATGAGTAAAAAAATGGATGGTTTATTTGTATAGCTTAGTTTTAAGTAGAGAAATAACTAAAACTATATCGTAAACATCAAAACGCATACGAGATACAGGATTGAATCGAACGTTACAATTATGTTCACCTGAACCATAAAGATGAAGATGAAAAACATGAATAAACGGTATCAGCATTCTGGCTTCTGACTTTCTCCCGGTATTTTAAGCCAAGTATGAATGGAGACGAGTGTCGTGATCTTGTAGTCTTGTTGGTGACTAAGGCCGACTTATTACTTAGGCACAGCTGTTAATTAATAGCCCATACAGCTAATGGCAACTAAGGGAACTACAGTTTATAATAGAATCCGAACCACATTTTCGCCTTGGTATTAATTCATGGTATTACAGTGGCTTGGCCTCGAAATGTTTCCAACTTCTTAGATGAGGTCCAATTGAGACTCATGAAGGTACAAAAATATACCTTTTCCCCTATAAGATCAAATTGGTTATATACTACGCAAGTCTAATGTAGTTTGTGGCAGGCACATGGAGCAGAGTGTTTGGAAGCAAAACTGTAATACTAGTATAAAGAAACTGTCAATTGCAAACCGTAATTTTTTTCTGAATGCTCATAAATGGTCCCTTGGAAGCATAAATCAACGTTTAAAAAATTAAAACTCTACTAATTTGAACTCAAACCAAAACATAAGCTAAACCGTTCGATAAGTTCTTCATTCGAATTGACCTAATTAATTAGTTAAATTCATTGACACTGTTTAACAATAAATTAACTACAAACTTCTTCAAGTGTACACGGCATTCGTTGAACCGGAAAACTGATAATTATAATTCGTTGTTATTTATTACAAATCGCGGCATCGGAAATGCTCAATACCCATTAGGCCGTGGAGTAATTATCACCATATTTTATGTTCACATTGAACATGGTAATGCGTTTAGCAGCTGTCCGTGGCAA